AGTTTGCCATGTGTTTATTTATACAGATTATTGGTAGTTTGCCATGTGTTTGTTTGTACAGATTACTGATAGTTTGCCATGTGTTTATTTATACAGATTACTGATAGTTTTCCATGTGTTTATTTGTACAGATTACTGGTAGTTTGCCATGTGTTTACACAGATTGCTGGTAGTTTGCCATGTGTCTATTTGTACAGATTACTGGTAGTTTTCCATGTGTTTATTTATACAGATTACTGATAGTTTGCCATGTGTTTGTTTATACAGATTACTGGTAGTTTGCCATGTGTCTATTTGTACAGATTACTGGTAGTTTTCCATGTGTTTATTTATACAGATTACTGATAGTTTTCCATGTGTTTATTTGTACAGATTACTGGTAGTTTGCCATGTTTTTATTTACACAGATTACTGGTAGTTTGCCATGTGTCTATTTGTACAGATTACTGGTAGTTTTCCATGTGTTTATTTATACAGATTACTGATAGTTTGCCATGTGTTTGTTTATACAGATTACTGATAGTTTTCCATGTGTTTATTTATACAGATTACTGATAGTTTGCCATGTGTTTGTTTATACAGATTACTGGTAGTTTGCTATGTGTCTATTTGTACAGATTACTGGTAGTTTTCCATGTGTTTATTTATACAGATTACTGATAGTTTTCCATGTGTTTATTTGTACAGATTACTGGTAGTTTGCCATGTGTTTATTTACACAGATTACTGGTAGTTTGCCATGTGTCTATTTGTACAGATTACTGGTAGTTTTCCATGTGTCTATTTGTACAGATTACTGGTAGTTTTCCATGTGTTTATTTATACAGATTACTGATAGTTTGCCATGTGTTTATTTATACAGATTACTGGTAGTTTGCCATGTGTCTATTTGTACAGATTACTGGTAGTTTTCCATGTGTTTATTTATACAGATTACTGATAGTTTGCCATGTTTTTATTTATACAGATTACTGGTAGTTTTCCATGTTTTTATTTACACAGATTACTGTTAGTTTGCCATGTGTTTATTTATACAGATTACTGGTAGTTTTCCATGTTTTTATTTACACAGATTACTGGTAGTTTGCCATGTGTTTATTTATACAGATTACTGGTAGTTTGACATGTGTTTATTTGTACAGATTGCTGGTAGTTTGCCATGTGTTTATTTATACAGATTACTGGTAGTTTGCCATGTGTTTATTTATACAGATTACTGGTAGTTTGCCATGTGTTTATTTATACAGATTTCTGTTAGCTTTCCATGTGTATATGTCACAGATTTCTGTGAGTTTCAGGTAGATAGAACACAGATTATTGTGAGTTTCCATATGTAGATATATCACATATTACTGTGAATTTCCATGTAGATATGTCACAGACTACGGTGAGTTTCCACCTAGATATATCACAGATTTCTCGGATTACTGTGAGTTTCCATGTGTATATATATCGTGGATTTCTGTGAGTCCTTTGGCAGTATATACTTATATCACAGATTCTGTGAGTTCTAGGCCAGTGTATATATATATCACAGATTACTGTGGGTTCTATGACTATGTATATATGTATATATCACAGATTTCTGTGAGTTCTATGTCAGTGTATATAGCACGGCTTGCTGTGATTCTTAGGGCTATAGATATCACGGATTGCTGTGAGTTTCACTGACGGTAGATGTCAGTCCTGTCTATGCCGATACTATTCTATCTTATCAGGCTTCTTGGGAAGATTCATTGAGTTGGCAATTGTTTTTGCCCTACTCCTGAAGAGACCATGAGTACAATACCCTTCAGGCGGTACGATGATGATGATGATGATGACCTACAATAAAGATAAGATATCTCATACGGATCTGTATGTACATGTGCATTACAATTTGCACTTTAAAGAAGGTATTGCTCAGCAGAGCTTGATTTTATGGACAATATATCACTGGAACAAATCCAGCTTAAACCCAATACAACTGGTTTTACCTCTATGTTGCCTGCCGGGCACTTAGGGACCACCAGTCCCAGTTACGGTTAATTCACACAGTCGTATGCTGTCTAAGATTAGTGTCTAAGGGTCCTAGGTCACAGGATACCCGGAGGATTTACAGATATTTAGGGGACTCTGCCAAACTCAGAGGTCCCCATTACTCATTTAATATGAAACCCAGGATTGGCCTGCTATGTCTGTGCCCCATTGATTGGCCTGCTATGTCTGTGCCCCATTGTTTGGCCTGCTATGTCTGTGCCCCATTGATTGGCCTGCTTTGTCTGTGCCCCATTGATTGGCCTGCTATGTCCGTGCCCCAGTGATTGGCCTGCTATGTCTGTGCCCCATCGATTGGCCTGCTATGTCTGTGCCCCATTGATTGGCCTGCTATGTCTGTGCCCATTTGATTGACCGACTACATCTGTGCCCTTCTGTCTGGCCTGCTCTAACTGGGCCCATTGTTGACCTGCTCTACCTGTGCCCGAGCCCCCCTTTGGACCACAAACCTGGGGGAATTTCACTGAAGTAAGCTCAGTACCCTCTAGGTGGGTGTACGGACAGGCACTGCTGCCATATTATCCAAGAGGACACCAGGATATGGACATCTAACTGTGATTGGAGGGGTGAAGGCCCTACACCTCATGCCCTGAAGGGCAAAGTTTTTATGATTCCCGGGCACGCAACTACGGGTTATACCCAACGACGACACATCTCGAAGGGGAATTTTGCACAAGCAGGGAACAGTGCTTAGACGCCATATTTGGTATTGGCAGTGTTTTTCTATGTCATGTTTAGCTCCTGACCTTTTCAATTGGATTCCCTTGATTTGTTTTTTCCAGTCTGCTATCCGACCTGCTTTCCGAGGTATGTATTTTCCATTTTCTACTTCATTTCTTTGTTTTCGTGCCTTCTATTGTCCTATTGCTCGGGTCGTCGAGAGGCCTGACTTGACCTCCTCCTACCTCCCGGGTGCTTGTGGATTGCGGAGAACGTCTCCAGCTTTCCTCAGACTACCGACGGTCATCCTGGAGCCCACGCGCAAGCACGGGATCCGGGCAGTCTTCAGCTCCGAAACGTACTTTTTTCATCACCCCTTTCTCTTATTAAGGTCGGACATGGCCCGAGGTTGTATACTTTGCTTATATTAAATAAGGGTGTAACCCCACGTTTGGTCACCCTGAGTCTCTACTGGACTCTGGTTTGGATTACAGAGGGTGCAGCCCTCCTTCACCTCGGCCCGAGACTGATATTTTTATTTTCAAGAGTAGAGGGCGAACCCCTCTCATTTATCGAATCGGACACTGATTCATTATTAGAGGGCGCGGCCCTCCCTCAACCTCGGCCCGATACTGAGCTGGATATAGAGGACATGCTCCGAGTGACTCATTCTCATAGAAGGAACCGGACACAGAGGTAGACTCTATGTTTGACTTCTAACGGGTGCGGCCCGCTCATACCACCAACCATGCGCAGACTCAGAGTGTGATCACATTTTACAGAGTGTGACTCTCTCATACACTCAATGCACTATGGTGCCGTCCATTTGTTCCTCACACAGGCTTGTACCTGTACAGGTCAACTATGACCGCATAGAGGGGTGGCCCTCCTACATCCAATTTAAATATGATGACCGCGCTACTGATTTCGTTCTAGAGGGCTACCTGATCGGGCAAGGTATACATAGTTTGACTGGATCCATCTTGTAATCCACATGAGAAATACCCTCAGAGGTATTAGTGGGGGATGTTTCCCACTTATGTACACACATTCCGGGAGACAGTGCGGCTAAGGAGGAGCCTCAGTTTTTACAAGAGTACAGGTTTTGGTATAATCTGTGCTATATCAAACAGACATTGCACTCTGTTTCGGATATTCATTGCGTACAAACTGTGCAGACTATTCTCCCGTGTCAGGGTGAAATGAGATCCTGAGACCTGCATAGGGCAAACGGGCACTGCCTTGCTCGAGTAACAAGACTAGAAAATTCACATAAACGGTCTTCAGGTGCACCGTATGCATGGATCGCATGGAGAAACCGAAATTCTCAGGACTTGGCTTCCCTGATCCTTACAATCTTGAGATAAAGTTGGCAGGACTGCTCCTACAACTCTGAACACATATCTGGAGAACAGTGTTCGGACTCTATATCCATCACGGGAACCATCTTGGTTTGGGTTCTCACTAGCCTTCCTCTTCAACTACCATCAAGGAAACCTACACTGGGAGATACATGCTTGGACAGTCTATGAGACAGGAACCTAGGGGTCTCACTATATTATTCCCTATCTTGTAGGTGGCATGTAGGCCAGGAACCCCTACACGAATATTGACAGGTCGGGCAAGGAACAGGATTATACAAAGGGTAATCGGAGTATTTCACACTCTCACTGCAACACGTAAGGGCTCTTCTGTGTTATACGGGTCCTTTAACTCTATTGGATGCGGCCATCTTAGCACTCTTAGAGGATGATGTATTTGGATGGAAATCTCAACCCCAGTTTCCGGTCCCATCCTTTTGAATTTTCCAGGATTCATAGAGGAACGAATAGACACTATTCGGTTCTATTCGAGTATTGACGGTGGACTTAGGCGCGGGCCTGAGGTTGGAGTTTGTCTGCAAGGCCACATCGCCTGGTGAACCTGACACGATCGGAGGAATCACCTCCCACATCAACAGTCGAGACACGGTGGAAGTCTCTTCTCGCGACCCCTCTGCACTTTACACCTACAGGAATATGGCTAATAGGTCAACTTGGCAGCTCATGGACCGACTGCTAGGGAACAGGTCGTAACCCCACGTACAATGGATCTATCAACGGAGGTCACTTCTTGCAGTTGGAAGGTCCATTTAGGATTGCTCTAATATTCTCGGAATGGGTACCAGCGAAACAAGCAGCGTTGGATTTGTTGGCTGAGCGTTAAAACAGCAAATACGAAGCCTCCTGTCATGTTATAAAATTGTAGATTATGCTAGCTTTAGTGTACCTATAATCTTAATTTTATTAATGACAGGAGGCTAGTATTTCCCACCCGTTCTTATCCCTCCCTTGTTTAATTTTATAGTTTGGATTAATCAGGTACGTATACAACTCTGCTTGTTGTTTCTGCTACCTGTCACCTATCCTTATGTCTGTTTTTCATAAGTAGGGTTGGGATATCTACATATTCAGGTAATTTTGTTTGCTACATTGGGTATCTACAAGTTTATTCAAAATACATTTCATTGGATAATCAACCTGTTCGATTCTGTTTTTCTCTCATTTCAGTTTCCAGTCTTTCAGCACTATCTGGTGTGGCGCTTCTTTGTGGATGGTGGACATTGACTTATTTATTTTCAGTCCATCAACGCTATCCGGTTGACAGTTCTTCTCAGACGTTGGACATTGTTGTATTCATCGTATCTGGACTTCGTTGCTTCCCATTATTTTTTCTGCCTTTGTTATGTTTTGTCACAGCTTGAAAGAGGAAATTATGCAATGGGAAGGGGGTTTTACAGTACCTAACTTTTTTCTGATTGGTTGTTTTTCTGTGCTGCTGTGGAGTTCTAGTAAAGAGAGACTAAAGCAAATACTCGCCTCCTGTCACTAATAAAATTAAGATTGTAGGTACACTAAAGCTAGCATAATCTACAATTTTATTAGTTGAGAATACATTGTTATTTTCTCCTTGCAGTTTCTGAGTTATTTGTGTTTGCTCTGTTAATTTGCTATTTAGCTGGGTGAGCTCCAGCTTAAACATTGTAATACTTGAATCCAGTTTTGCTTTATTTTGATATATAATTTATTCAGAGATTCTTCTAATATCTATTGAGTTATATTTAGAGGAGGGGTTATCTGTTTATCTTGGTATTGCATTGTGTCAAAGGAGAGATTCAGTTCTTCACGTTGTTCTTTGGAGATAGATTTCCTATTGTTCTCATTAATTTTTTGCGTAGTAGAAAGTGTTAATATCTTTGTTTTTTTCTGATTTTTTTGTTTTTTCTTTATATTTTTTAGGGGCCATTTGGTCTTGAATCTTCTTTTCTTCAGTTTTATTTTCCCTCCTTTCTTTTTTCCTTTTCATCCTCCTTTTTATTTTTCATTTCCTTTCCCTCCCCCTTTTTCCCTTCACTGTTTTCCCCTTTCAGCATTTATTGTTCCCCTTTCTTCCAACTTTTTTCTTTTTTTTTTCTTTTTTTCTCCTTTTTCCTTTCTTTTTTCCCTTTCTCTTTCCCTTTTAGGTTTTATATGTTATGACCTTCTTTGTGGTCTTTCTTTTTTTCCTTTTCCTTTCTTATCAATTCTTTTTCAGTCCCCTTTTTTCTATCCCCTACTCCTCCTTTCCCTTTTTTTCTTTCCCTCTTCTTCTCTCTGTTTCTCCTTTTTATTCTTTCCCTTTAAGTTCCTCTTTTTTTTTTTTGCTTCCCCTTTCCTCTTTCTCTTCCATATTTCCTTCTTATGTTTATTGTATTATTTTTCCTTTTCTTTCTTTAATCCCTCCTTATTGTTATGTACTTCCCTCTACGATAAGTTTGCTGTGGACATTCTTGTATCACTGCTTCTTAGGGGAGAAAAAAAAAGGTCAAACCAAAAGGGAAATTATGCAGTTCACAGTTATAGCTAGATTAATAGTTATGTGAGGCCATATCAAGCCTATTGCAGCCACCACATAAAAATCTTGAATCACTAAAATCAAGAGCGCATACACCTAACCACTTCTATCTGACTATCTGTCTTAGCTGTCTAACACGTGTTTCGGCGCTGCTACACGCGCCTTTGTCCGAGACTAAACAGGAGTGCTCGGAAATACCTGTGGCTCATATAACCCACAGGTATTTCCGAGCACTCCTGTTTAGTCTCGGACGAAGGCGCGTGTAGCAGCGCCGAAACACGTGTTAGACAGCTAAGACAGATAGTCAGATTGAAGTGGTTAGGTGTATGCGCTCTTGATTTTAGTGATTTGAGATTAGCCAGCCTATTATCGTTATTTGCCTACAGTGGTGGTTATGGGATGGTGATAGGGGGTTGGATGCCTGTACAGCGAGATAGCTCCACACAGTATAGGAGAGACTGGAGCGATACTATATTGTACGTAACTTAGGAGTCTACCTTTTTTCCTCCCCCAATTAAACCGATTCCACACGGAGGTTCAACTCTGAGAACACATAGAAGGCACTTTACACTTTGTATCTAGTGCTGACTTCAAGTCAATGGAGCGCTTTAGCTACATTGTTAATGATCTGTGTGACTATGTACTTTACAGATATTAATATTTCTTTCCTATCTGTATGTATGTTAACATTAGGTTGGTATGTCGCTACTGCACTAGGAGAGATATAGCACTAGCTCAGTAGTTTGACACATTTGATTATTTCTTTGTAGTAAGGTTGTACGTCTGAGTGAGGTTCCCCCCCCCCCTTCCTGATTTTTGTATCCACGAGGGGATTTAACAAATCGGATAAGATAACCCACTTACAGGCATTCTCACCTTTCCATATTGATCTTAACCTATATATATATTTTGTTTCTGTATTTCTTTTTAAACAGCAATCATTAAAAGTAAAATTTTAGCTATATATATTATTATAGCAATCGATTAGGGGGCGCCCTCTTTCTATGGACCACGCTGGTCTTTCTTTTCTTTATCTTAAGTTACACATATAAGTGAGGGTTATCCCCTATTTCTGGACGCCCCTAGATACATATATACTGGTTTCCCTAAGGGCAATTGGTATATCTTTTTCATTAGTGTGGGCACCTAATGCAAACAATCTCAGTCCTTAAATGGGCTGCTACCATTATATATTTCTTTAAGTACTCTCACACTTCTTATATTATGCAAGTGGTGAGTAACCCTTAGCAGGGGAACTGCCAAAGGATGACCCGCCAGCAACATTGTGTTTATGTTGGAAATCCGTCCTTCACCGTGTCTCACTGCGTATCCGTGTAGCCACCTGTCAGGTTGTTTTTTTTGTACACCATGTTTCCATGTAGCCGCCCTATGACCTATTTTTATCTACTCATTTTATGATTTTTGACCAACTGAAAAAAAAATTTAAGTTAACCATTTGTGATGTCCAAATGCATGAGGAGATGGTGTAGTTGAATAGCAATCATGTTGGGATTGATCCCAGTCCACACCCAGTGGCCCCTACTAATGCTGCAATTTTAAGTTCTCAGTGCACTTCCACGCCTCCAGAACTCTCACCTAAAATGGCAGATACAATGGGTCCAGCTACCTATGCCAGCTTTCCCTCTTCACTCAATGCAACCTTCGCAGAATTCTGGCAGAAACTAAGAGAAAGTGATGTATAGAATCTCACAAGGGGAAACTAACATCAGGAGAGCTCCACTGGTATAAGAAATGAGGAAGGGGAGCCCTACCTTTAATAAATCTAAGGATAAAAAGAGATCTGCAAACAAAAAGTCTAACTTTAAAAAAGGGAGATCTACTAAACCGTGCCCAGGGGATCCATTAACTGGAGTATTGTCCGACTGACGGGAAGGTAGTGTAAACGAGGTTAGTGAGCGAGAAGGCACAGGGTCACCAGAGAACAAGGGACCAGATAATCTGGTCTAAACTAAGATGAAAAGCCTCAAAGAAAAAATAAAGAAAAAAAAATAAAGAAAGAAAGAAAAAATATCTCAATTCACCCTAAGAGTTACCTAGACACCTTGGTCTGACCACTAGTGTCTACCTGAACCAACTCTCCCTACTAAAGTTATAAATAAATAAAGAAACATCTTAAAATCAATAACCATAATGCTAACAAAAATACCAGTGGAGATCTCCCGATGTTAGTTTTCCCTTGTGGAATTATATACATCAGTTCCTCCTATTTCCTGCATAATTTGAAGGGTTACCCCCTTATCGAAACTCCCTATTAGGTGGTTACAGTGGTGCAGCTCACAAGTCCTTGACTTGAATCTGGGCTCCTGACCTGCAATCTGTTTACATTATGCCTCTATTTTCTGGCAGAAACTAGCTTATCGACTGCAGCAGCCTATTCAGCAAAAGCATAGTGGATTCCCACTCTGGCACTAATAATACAAGCCCCGGCGCACCGTGTGGATCCCAAGTAACACAAGGGCGAGACAAGTTATCTTATCCAGGCTTGGCAGAACACTCACCAAATTCTGGCAAAAACTCAAGCTATGGATGCAGCAACCTCTAACCATAAAGTCAAGTGACTACTCACCACAAGAACAGCAGCCTGGCTAGGAACAAGAGACCGTAGCCCTGACAGTGCACAATGCCCCAACATGGTGGCGAAATGGTAAATATGCAACACTTCAACAAAGAGTTGCACGTGTGAGGGCGCCATCACAGTCCAGTACTGGGATCTGAGGTACTAAACAACAACTCAACCCAAACATATGGACAGATCTCCAGTGCACACTGAGGCTCAGAAGCCTGTCTCTCCTCTCACCAGACTGAGACTCTGCTAAGCCCCTGGTCGGCATAGGTTAATAACAGAATTCTAGCCTGCACTTTGAAGAGTCCATGGCCCTTCATACTACCTCTTTCCCATTAAACATTGGCTAGGAAACTTGCGTCATTCTCAGCTACATTTGCATTCATCTACTATTATTTTGTTGTAATCCATGGTTTACCTTCCACCTCTGCATTTGCTAGCTGTCTATATGCAAAAAGCTTGGGGCCTCCCAGGGAACTCTCTATGTTGATTTTTCTGTTTATTTCTTTTCCTTTAAAAAAAAAAATAAAAAAAAAAAGCTCAACATATCCTCTTTACCAATATGTCAATAAGTCACTGCATCAACTCTTGTAACCTGTCATATGTCTTAACATCAAC